CGACCACGTAATGGCTGCGTTCAAAAACCATTGCGCGCCTACTGAACGTGATATTCAGTAGGCGCGCAATGGTTTTTAGTCATGTAACTCTATTGTAGATAAAACATGTAAAGTACTGAAAAAAAAATTCATAAAAAACGTTTTAATAACAAGCTTTTATGTAATGATGCACTAAAAAGTAGAAAATAAATTATAGACTACTATTTAAATAACTATAAAGAAAAGCGTGGGTGTCTTCCTTAACATTAGTAAAGGTATCCAATAGATACTAAAGTGACCCACGCTTTTCTTTATAGTTATTTAAATAGTAGTCTATAATTTATTTTCTACTTTTTAGTGCATCATTACATAAAAGCTTGTTATTAAAACGTTTTTTATGAATTTTTTTTACAAGCTTTTATTTAACTCACTTCCTCTGTCTGTCGTCAGTCTAGACGGAAACGCAGGAGTGAAAATTCGGACAGTTCTACTTGACAGATACGATTCACAGTTGGCACGTGGGTCAAGACATGAAGACAATGCAATCTGAAACTAAATTTGACTTAATCGGATGCCTAATTAATTTTTTATTAATTAATTAAAATTTGGACCGAATTAGTAGGCATGTCTAGCCAACCACACCACACGCGTCATCAATAGCTGCGCCATCACGACCACGTAATGGCTGCGTTCAAAAACCATTGCGCGCCTACTGAACGTGATATTCAGTAGGCGCGCAATGGTTTTTAGTCATGTAACTCTATTGTAGATAAAACATGTAAAGTACTGAAAAAAAAATTCATAAAAAACGTTTTAATAACAAGCTTTTATGTAATGAAGCACTAAAAAGTAGAAAATAAATTATAGACTACTATTTAAATAACTATAAAGAAAAGCGTGGGTGTCTTCCTTAACATTAGTAAAGGTTTCCAATAGATACTAAAGTGACCCACGCTTTTCGTTATAGTTATTTAAATAGTAGTCTATAATTTATTTTCTACTTTTTAGTGCTTCATTACATAAAAGCTTGTTATTAAAACGTTTTTTATGAATTTTTTTAATAAATTAATACAAATTGAGTAATGCTAATTTTTTTTCTACATTGCGGTGTATGTTCAAATAATATGACGCTAAAAGTTGTCATGCGCAGGAATGCATTAAAAATTCACGTGATCAAAACGCGCTGTTTGTGATTGGTTCGAGATGTAAGGCCCGACTTTGAATGTGTTCCCGTCGTCCCCTAGGGCGACCTCTCTTTCCGGTCGTGCATTGTGAATAAATAATGAAAGCTTTGGTCTGGGGGACGGGGATAAAATCCGGGATGGGACTTGCTTTGTCTGGACACATCTATAATTTTGGCTTCTGTTGTAAAAAAAATCTGGGAATTTGGTCAAGCGCGATGCTATCTATTTGAGTGTATAGTGTTTATTTATTTATACTTTAATTTAACAGATAGAAAATGCGATGAACCGCAGTTTGTTTTTATTTTATTTTTAAAAGTTTAACTTTGGCCGTGATGAAGCTCAACATCGGAGTCTAAAAGAAAAATTGAAGATAAAAATGTGAAATAGGGGCAGTGTTTCTTTCAGACTTTTTACTCCGGGATGTCTGAAGGAAACAATTAATAGGGGGTAGCACAAATGTCGTCAATATAAAGCCTCTATTACCTTAGCGCAGTTATCAAAACTGGTCATGAAAAGCCAGATTTCCCATTATGCACATACACAGTTCCACACATATATATATATATATATATATATATATATATATATATATATATATATATATATATATATATATATATATATATATATATATATATATATATATATATATATATATATGTGTGTGTGTGTGTGTGTATGTATATACACTCACAAACATACATAAACACACATTATAAGTGGTCGTTACAATACATTTAAATATTACCATAGAATAAACAACATTGTCATATTGTCATGTATTATAAACAGTGCACGATTATAAATGATTCGTATAACCTTGCCAACAAAGAAATTAAACAAGAATAAGTGTACTATAGTCCTTAGCAGTCGTGCCAGATTTGTAATGTTAAAGTTCGGTAGAAACAGGTGGATGTTAAATAGCATCAGATTCCAACAAGGTTGAATAGTTAATGGAGGTTGATTCATTATCGGGAGTGGTTGATATGTAAGTTAGAGAGTAGATGAAAAAAAACAGAGTGGAAAAGTGTTGCAGATTGGGGTGGGGTTGGGGTGGGGTTGGGGTGGGGTTATGGGGACAGGGGGGTAAATTGTCTGTATACACGCGAGTAGTGTGATCAAGATGTCAACGAGAGAAATCGATGGGGACTGTGTTTAGTGATGGTTGACCTAAGGGGTTTAGTGGGGGTTGGGTTTAGTGATGGTTGACCTAAGGGGTTTAGTGGTGGTTGACCTAAGGGGTTTAGTGGTGGTTGGGTTTAGTGATGGTTGACCTAAGGGGTTTAGTGGGGGTTGGGTTTAGTGATGGTTGACCTAAGGGGTTTAGTGGGGGTTGGGTTTAGTGATGGTTGACCTAAGGGGTTTAGTGGTGGTTGACCTAAGGGGTTTAGTGATGGTTGACCTAAGGGGTTTAGTGATGGTTGACCTAAGGGGTTTAGTGATGGTTGACCTAAGGGGTTTAGTGCTGGTTGACCTAAGGGGTTTAGTGATGGTTGACCTAAGGGGTTTAGTGATGGTTGACCTAAGGGGTTTAGTGATGGTTGACTTAAGGGGTTAAGTGGTGGTTGGGTTAAGTGATGGTTGACCTAAGGGGTTTAGTGGGGGTTGACCTAAGGGGTTTAGTGATGGTTGACATAATGGGTTTAGTGGTGGTTGACCTAAGGGGTTTAGTGATGGTTGACTTAAGGGGTTAAGTGGTGGTTGGGTTAAGTGATGGTTGACCTAAGGGGTTTAGTGGGGGTTGACCTAAGGGGTTTAGTGATGGTTGACTTAAGGGGTTAAGTGGTGGTTGGGTTAAGTGATGGTTGACCTAAGGGGTTTAGTGATGGTTGGGTTTAGTGATGGTTGACCTAAGGGGTTTAGTGATGGTTGGGTTTAGTGATGGTTGACCTAAGGGGTTTTGTGATGGTTGACCTAAGGGGTTTATTGGTGGTTGGGTTTAGTGATGGTTGACCTTAAGGGGTTTAATGGGGGTTGCCCTAAGGGGTTTAGTGAGGGTTGACCTAAGGGGTTTAGTGAGGGTTGACCTAAGGGGTTTAGTGATGGTTGACCTAAGGTGTTTAGCGATGGTTAACCTAAGGGGTTTATTAATGGTTGGGTTTAGTGATGGTTGTCCTAAAGGGGTTTAGTGGTGGTTGGGTTTAGTGATGGTTGACCTAAGGGGTTTAGTGGTGGTTGGGTTTAGTGATGGTTGGGTTTAGTGGTGGTTGGGTTTAGTGATGGTTGGGTTTAGTGATGGTTGGGTTTAGTGGTGGTTGGGTTTAGTGATGGTTGACCTAAGGGGTTTAGTGAGGGTTGGGTTTAGTGAGGGTTGACCTAATGGGTTTAGTGATGGTTGACCTAAGGGGTTTAGTGGTGGTTGGGTTTAGTGGTGGTTGATGTAACCGCCGAATTCCTTAAATTATCGTACTGTATAATTTATTACATGACAAACATACATCGGCTCAAGCCTGTTTGACTTCCCTGAGTCCACTCAGCTCTGATGGGTACATGACTTACTTCCATTCCTGACCACACCATCCTCCTGTATGCCGTAGTCATGGCATTGAAAAAGATGGACTCTACTTCATCTGCACCATGTGTCTTGGGAACGATCGGGAAAAGATAACGAAGCATAAAAAACCATGTGATTGGCTACATGATTGAAAACTTTATGTGAAACAATTACACAGATGCAACTGTGTGTATGTAGCGTATGTCAGACAAACCATCTCAGTTTATATTAACGTAAAAATTAGCGTTATAAGCCACTAACTAATTAAAACACGCACAAGTAAAGACGATTAAAAAATAAGATTATTTCATTATTATTTTGACGGCTCTCGTAATTAAAAAAAACCGAATTCAATTATGAGATTACGGTGGAATAATCCACCACTAAATCTCCTTCAATCATAATCCGACCCACGCGTTCATTTGAAATATTTAAAAATCTGGATTTTGAACCCGCCTAGAAGACAATACATGAGTTATCTGCCCATTTGCCGCATCGCTTCTTCCCCCCCCCCCTTACAAACAGTGCGGGTAATTGGTTTATCAATTATACGCTCTTGCATTCTCTCTCCGCCCCCCCCCCATTCTATCCTGGTTGAGCACCGTTTTATTTCTTGATTGGTAGAGGGCTATACATTGGCAGTAGGAGTTGTATGTTACATAGTTGGGTAGATAGGGGCTTAAGTTCCAAACACATACACTCACACACACACACACACACACACACACACACACACACACACACACACACACACACACATATATATATATATATAACATGGCTCTAGACATTGTTCAGAGCTATAACACAACCCTCAGTATCAGCGGCGTAGCTCAGATGGAACTGTGGTGGGGTTCTGTCTGATGAGATGAATGTATAGATAGCAGCTCCTATATGTGTGATACTCATCGGTGGCGTAGCGGCATATCGTGGTGTTAAAGGTGGATTTTATCCCATACAGAAATATATGTGTGGAGAGGTATCCCAAACCACTAAACACGCCGCTAACATACATTTCAATAGTTGACTTATTGTTTGTTGATGTTTTCCGTTCCATACAGTCAAATGACTTTTATATACAGTCAAATGGCTTTCAGTTTGATACAGTCAAATGACTATTCTATACAGTCAAAAGACTTTCTATACAGTCAAATGACTTTTCTATTCAGTCAAATGACTTCTATACAATCAAATGATTTCTCTATACAGTTAAATGACTTTTCTATACAGTCAAATGACTTTTCTGCACAGTCAAATGACTTTCAGTTTGATACAGTTAAATGACTTTTCTATACAGTCAAATGACTTTCTATACAGTCAAATGCCTTCATGCTGTTACTCACCTGTCGTGCTAGTACCTGACACGACCCTGCTCACATGGGGTCGATGTGTAGACGGGTATTTATGTTTCTCACCAACTCTTCTATCCGCAATAGTTTTAGAATTCTCATTCGTCACTTTTGGAGCCATGGAGGTTCCAGAAATTTTTATTCCATGCGTCGTTGACATTTGCACATAACTTGTACTAGGATCGGTAGTGTGACTTGTTGTGAATTGTACAAAACGTTGACTGGTAGTGTTAACTCCAGGGGAGAGTTTGGTCGCTGCAGTTGTATGTTGCGAGTCCCTTCCACTCAAACAAAGGTCTTGTTTTGGGAAAAGATCGCAGTTCAAATGAGCCGGCCAAGCAAGTCCATAGCGGGCCATTAGACTCTCACATCCGGTTCTCGCTTCAACACACATCGGCCTACACGGCGGGATGGGTTCCTCTAACACGGTACACACGGGGAGGTAGAAGCTACACAGGAAGAATCTGAGATGTACGCTGCAGTTGAGTTCCAGAAGAGGAAGAAATTCTAAAAGCTTCACTCTGGCTTCTTCCTGAGTCTTATGATCAAGTAAATTCGGCATGCTCGTTTCGTTGTATGTAATGTCTTTACACATGGGTACAGTAATTATTTCACAATTATGGTTTCCATGAGGATTTTTAGGTTTCTTACGGGAATTCCCAAGACTATCCGTGGTTTTCGTTGATGTTTTTTTGGTATATATAGTAGGCAATGTAGAGGTAGTAAAATCTTTTCCTCCGCCAAAGTTAGTTCCGATAGTTGAAGTACGCGATGGTTTTATTGTAGATGATCCAGGTTTAGTACTTACATACTTATCAGTTGTGAGTTGTGAACTGCCCTTCTGATGCGGCTCTGTAGACAAATAGTTTTCACTGCCCACACACAACTCGGATGTAGGGAAGCGATCACAGTTTAACTCGTCCGGCCATTCAAACCCGAATTTGATCATCAACTTCTCACATCCGGTTCTTGCTTCAACACACAAAGATCTACACGGCGGAATGGGTTCTTCTAGAACAGTACACACCGGTACGTACACACTACACAGGAATAATTGGAGACGATTGCTGCAACGGACTTTGATAAGAGGAAAAAACTGGTGTATCGCTAATCCAGCTTCGTCTTGAGTTTTGTGATTCAGTAAATTTGGAAATATCGTTTCGTTGTATGACATGTCTTTACACATTGGTACAGTAATTGTTTCACATTTACGGTTGCCATTAAGATTTTCAAGTTCCTTACGGGAATTCCCAAGACTATTTGTGTCCGTGGTTTTCGTTGTTGTCATTTTGGTATATATAGTAGGCAATGTAGAAGTTTCAAAAATGTTTTGAGTAGATTTTCGACTGCTAGTAAAATCTTTTTCTCCGTCAAAGCTAGTTCCGATAGTTGAAGTACGCGATGGTTTTATCGTAGATGATCCAGGTATAGTACTTACATACTTATCAGTTGTGAGTTGAAAACTGCCCTGCTGATGAGGCCCTGTAGACAAATAGTTTTCACTGCCCACACACAACCCGGATGTAGGGAAGCGGTCACAGTTTAACTCGTCCGGCCATTCAAACCCGAATTTGTTCATTAAACCTTCACAGTCTTTTGCTTCATTACACAAAGATCTACACGGCTGTATGAGCTCTTCTAGAATAGAACACACCGGCACGTACACACTACACAGGAATAATTTGAGACTATTGCTGCAATGGACTTTGATAAGAGGGAGGTACTGGTGTATCGCTAATCCAGCTTCGTCTTGAGTTTTGTGATGCAGTAGATTAGGCATAATGGTTTGGTTGTACGGAATATCTGCGCACATTGGAACTGTTATTTTTTCACAGCGTCTACGAGCAGGTAATGAAGTCAGGGTGGTCGAGGTTGTGTCTTGACTGCGTGTGGTCTTGTCTGAAACTTCTCCGGGGGTAAATGATGGAGGCTTCGGCTTTTTATTTGAAGGTTTTTTGTTAGTAGAATCAGGACGGGGTCTTTTAGTAACCGTTTTATCAGGATTGCTGTTTAAGAGTGGTGGTTTAATTAAAGTCCGGCTTGTCGTAGCCGGAAAATGAGGTTTTTTAGAAACTTGTTTACTAGTATTGATGTTAGTGCGTGACGGTTTATTCGTCTTTAGTGACCTGGTTGCTCTGCTTGAGACTTGACCAGAGTCAGCATCCGAACCTCCTGCAAGATGAGGCAGCCCTTGAGCTTCTGAAGGATCGTGGTCAACATCCCCAATGCATAAACCTGACACCGGAAACTGGTCACAGCGTAGACTCTCCGGCCAGGAGAAGCCGTACGATCGCATGATACCCTCGCAGCCCGCTTTCGATTCGTCACATAGCGACCTGCACGGAGGGAGAGGCTCTTCGAGTATAGTACACACCGGGACATACACGCTACACAAGAAGAATCGGATCTGCTTGCTGCATTTGATTTCCACAAGCGGAGAGAACTGATGGATCTCCATCCCAGCGTCCTTCTGTGTCGTATGGTTCAGTAAGTTTGGCATTGCCGTCTGGTTGTATTGGATACCAAAACACATGGGGATTGTGATACTCTCACACTCTCTCTGAGCGGGAAGTAACGCGGGTTTTCTTGCATCATGTCTATAAATATAACCGCCGTCTGTAAACTCGTCTTTGCTAGCTTCACTGTGATTTTTTTTTGTAGGCTTCGTTAATTTTTCCCCGTGTTTTTTCGAGCCTTTATTTTTTTTCTTCAAACCTTTTGAATTCCCCCCAGGCTTTTTAGAAGTCTTAACAGCTTTCTGGACTTGATCCGTGTTTTTATTTTCCCTACGTCTATCTTCCTCTTTTTGTTTCGTTTCTTGTGTAGGTTTTTGTTTCTTGCCCGCGTTTAGTGCTTGGTTGGATTCTTCATCGCTTTCTTGACCTGAAGGAACCCCGTAGGTACGTTGTAAAGACTCGGTGTTGTTTTCGTCAATACATAACCCCGAGTCTGGTAGTCGGTCACAGTTTAGTGCATCCGGCCATGTAAAACCGTACGCATCCATGAGTTCCTTCACGCTCTGTTGCGCTTTTTCGCAGAGATGTCTACAAGGCGGGATGGGTTTGTCTAGCGTGGTACACATGGGCACGTACAAGCTGCAGAGGAAGAGGCTGAGATCCCTGCTGCCTGAGACCTTGACAAGAGGGAAGAACTGATGAACTTCTAGCGCGGCGTCGTCTTGGGTAGTGTGGTTGAGTGCGTTGGGCATGCGGGTTTTATTGTACGGCATGCCGATACACAACGGCGCGGTGATTTTCTCGCATTTGTTGGACCGCGGGGCATTGTGGGATTTTTCTCCCTCTGAGCTTTTAGCTTTTTTATTTAACCGTTTATTGGGAATTTTATCCGAGTCTGGTTGTGACTGCAAGAATTTTTTCCCACGCTTTCCGGGGTTTTTATCATTCGTCTTTGAACCTTTTTTGTTCCCATTTTGTTTTTTATACGGCTTCATTGTCTTTTTGGCTTGGTCAGTTTTCTTCTTTGATACATGACGTACGCCATTTTCTGGCTTATTTTCAGACGTTGGTTCTTGCCTCTTTCTCCTATCAGAAGGTGTTCTGTTATCTACTAGGTTAGATGGTTTTAAGAAAGACACGAATGGGTTTGCGGTGGTTGTTGAAATATTTTGCAAATCGGCATCGAATTTTGGAGTTTCTGTAGAGTCTACACGAGGAACTACAACTAATCCTACATGATTCTGACGATGTTTCATAGATAAATCTGTCTCAGCCGCTAAACACCCGGATGTAGGAAACTGATTACAGTTTACAATGCTTGGCCATTGCAGACCAGACGCTTGCATGGTACCAGTACATTCTGTCAATGTCTGCTCACACAAGGATCTACACGGCGGGGTGGGTTTAGCCTCGGCGCTACACACCTGTTTAAAGAGAGAACACACCAAGGGCAAAAGATGTCTGCTGCACTGCGTTTTGATCAGGTGATGAAACACAGCACCGTTCAGCACTTCCTCTAATTGTTTCGCGTCTTTCTTCAAGTTTGGCACTAACGTCATGTTGTGGTCCAAATTTTTACACACCGGTCCTGCTATTGGTTCACAGATATCTTTTACACTCACTTCATCCAATAGCGTAGCTTGTTGAACACCGGAAACGTAAATACTAAATCCCGGAAATACACATCCAACTAGAAAAACACCAAAAAACACCATAATAAAACGATTCTTTTTTAACACGGCCATCTTTATAGAAAATTAATATCCATGAACTAACACCACTGATGCGTATTAGAAAAAAAAATTGAAAGATCTATAAATCCATATAATTAGATTTTTAACTTAAAAAAAAACCCGCGAAAATATCCAGCGAAAACTCGATTGTCTGGTGAAGAGGAACTTCCCTAACTCACCAGGGTCGAGTCGACTGGGAGATGCTACCCTTGTTTAACAACGAGCAGTCTGTCAACAAAACCAGAGTTATCCCGCCTGCATACCTCACTTGTCTAAAAATAAATCGCCAACTGCGTAGTCCCCGCTACACGTCCCGGATTCTGAAAGAGAGGTGAAACAAAAAATATTTCGGCGGCTCGACCTTTAACGAGAAAACCATTGGGTGACCCGCGGGGGTGGAAGGTTGATGACCAATGGGTGAAGGACGGATGCTCATCTCATAGCAGGCCTGTGTTAACTAGCAGGGTGAGCAGGTGCTGGCTGGAGCTATGGGCATAATGCCCGGGCATGGAGGTTGGGCATGGTGCCCTGGCAGGGATGTAGGGCATGGAGCCCGGGCATAAAGCTGTAGGCATGGTGCCCATGTATGGAGCTGTGGGCATAATGCCCGGGCATAGAGGTTGGACATGGTGCCGGGACATAGAGCTGTGGGCATGGATTTTGGATATAGTGCCCGGGTATGGAGGTTTAACATGGTGCCCGGCATACAGGTTGGGCATGGTGCCCGGGCATGAACTTTAGGCTTGGTGTTCAGGCGTGAGGTGTTCTCTTTGTCGATTTGTTATCCAGAAAGGGAGGGGGGGGGTGAAGGGTTTATTTCACAATTACTTATCTTTGTATTCGTTTTTTAACGTAACAACTAAATTCAATATGTAGTTGTTCAACATAGCTATATCTTTTGTCCTATACCTATTTTTCATACACAACATAATTGTTCTGTACGCCTTGCTACTTAAATGTTAACACAAAGTCATTTGGAAATGCACGTCTAGTAGA